CCACAATCAGCTTACTCTACATAAAAGCAACCCCATAAGCTGCTTCCAAACACATGCACAATATACTTTCCTAGTCTTTTTGTCCTCTGGTACTTATGGAGACGCCAAGTACAAGTTACAAGCAAACACAGCACCTTTTTCTCATGCAAGATGTGACGATACCTTACCTTTTCCCTCCGGACTCGCGCAGCGCGGCGTTCTCTCTGGCTGCTTCCGGGAGGCGGCATAGCCTGTCTGGCGCTGGCCGCTCGCGGCGTGCTGACGTCATCAGGATTTTGCAGCGAAAAATCAAACGTGGCCACGCTCCCGAACCTTTTGGGGGGTGTGGCTTTAAAGTAAATAACACCTCACTATAAAAGGGCACCCCTGTCCTTCCATCAGCGCCCTAGTGTGTTCTTGTTCGTTCCCTCTAGTGCTCTTGAGATTTTTGTCTGGATGGGCGTGCTTGTCGTTGGTGATGACAAAATATCTGTCTCTGGCCCAGCTCCCTTTTCACTGGGAAGCTATAATTAAAAATGCCAGGACCTCGCAAAAATTACAATATAAAAAAAAATGCACAGTGATGTCTAAGAATGCATGTAACCACCTTGATTGTAAATCAAAAAAAAAAAAAATATATATATATATATATATATATATATATATATATATATATAATACATAAGGTCCAGCTTACTCACCTATCCACTAAACAGCAACTTCAATGTTGAAAGATTTTATTTGTTTTTTTTAAAAACACCTAATCTAGGCAAAAATAATGGGGGTTTAGTTACATTATATGATCATACATTGCATAAGCCTGCCACAACGTCAATATACCCATTGCATAAGCCTGCCACAACGTATATATATATTTGTGCTCGGAATTTAATATGTAATGGATAATGTCAGAGATAAAAGTTGGTTGTGGTGTGCCGAAACCAACGTCCGAGTGGGCCTGTAAATAAAAGAGGGCCCACCAAGGAGAATTGTATGTACTAAGGGTGTCGGTGGGTGGGGAACACTTGAACTCGAATGTCAGAGGTGAGTAGGGGCTGGGTGTTTAAGTAGGGGACTTACTCCTCCCACAAATTCAGGCCTAATGGCCTTTTTACTTGTGCTCGGAATTTAATATGTAATGGATAATGTCAGAGATAAAAGTTGGTTGTGGTGTGCTGAAACCAACGTCCGAGTGGGCCTGTAAATAAAAGAGGGCAAAGAGAAGTTCGGAAAAAACACACTTTATTGCATTTGATTACATGACTAAATTCCTGAAGGCTTGGCGAAGTTCTCTTTCTGGCCGTGGAATATACGTATTGTATATAGAGGACTTCCAGCGGCCCAGTCTCTTTATGATGTGGACCGGTGTGTTAGTGCTAGAAGCTGATGAAGCGGCCCCTATGCGAAAGGAATGCCCCGAGAATGAAGTTGGGTTGTAACCCAATTTTTCCAGTAAGTTTCTGACATATGTGGTGAATTTTGCTGTAGTGAGTGGGTGCCCTTGCAGTTGTAATAGTGGTGAGTCTGGTAGGTGTGTGCTATAAGCTGACCGTAACGTGTCTAGTGTCTTAACTGGACACCAAGCATTGTCTGTTGGAAAGAGAGGAATAATAGTGGGGTGTAGGGACTGATTTGTTTTGGTAGATGGGATTGTGAGAATGTAATAGTCGTCTTTTTTAGTGAGTTGTGAGGTTTTGAGGCTGTGAGTGGTATCCCCTTGACAAACAACAGTAAATTCCCTAGGCCTTAAGAACCCATAAAAAGCCAAATAGATTGCAGATTTGATCACCAGGTTAGTGTTGGGATCAAAAGGGGATTCGTCGAGGAGGTTGCTCAGCAATCTAAAGATAGGCCCATCTATAGGTAGTCTGGTGGTGATAGGTGGAACTGATACTTTGGAGATCCCCTTTAAGATTTTCTTTATGGGGTAAGATGATAAAAAGGGGGTGTTGTTAGGGAAATTTGTGAGGCTGTGGTGCTGCACCCCCGTGAGGTATAATTTTATGGTGTTGTGGGAAAGTTTTAGATGTAAATGGCAAAAAGAGGCAAAAGCCACCATGGTTTGGGTTGAGAAATCACCTTGTAATCCAAACTCAGCAGTAAATTTGTTGAAAATGGTGAGTGCCCTACTGTAGGTGATAGTAGTGTTTGGTGACAGTGCTTGGTGCGTAAGTGTCCTAGCGTGGTGCATCAGTGTGTTTAATCCAAGATTAGCTCGTGAAAATTCGGTGTTCTGGATGGTTGATGGTGGGCTGACGGGAGTGCCTGGAAAAACACCTGAAATTGAGATCGAGACAGAGCGTCAGCGGCCGTGTTGTGAATACCCGGAATGTGAAGGCAAATTAGGTGGAACTGGACGGTTGCTGCCAACCAGGTCAGCTTGCGAATCAGCCTCATAATGGTAAGAGAGGATGAGCGCCCTTTGTTGATGATATCGCAAGCTGATGAGTTGTCGGAATAACATTTTACTGCCTTGCCGGACCAGAGGTGACCCCAAGTGTGTGCGGCTGCCACAATGGGGTAAATCTCAAATATTCGGGCCTCAGCTCCGCCTCTGCTGCTGCTTAGCTCTGCCCCCTTTGCCCTCACTGATAGAACCGAGTGGAGGTTAATGAAATCCTCAACTCGGGTGCTGCGCGGTCACACTGGGGTAGTTGGGGGCACTTGGGTAGATAGGGAGCAGGGGCACTGTAGCAGTAGAGGGGGAAGCAGGGGCACTGGGGTAGATGGGGAGCAGGGGCACTGTAGCCTTAGATGGGGGAGCGGGGAACTGGGGAATTAGATGGGGGAGCAGGGCACTAGGGCATTAGATGTGGGAGCATGGGCACTGGGACATTATATGGGAGAGCATGGACTTACCAGGCAGCAGATTTGGGCCTCAGCTCCACCCCTGCCTGCTGCTTAGCTCTGCCCCCTTTGCCCTCACTGATAAAACCGAGTGGAGGATAATGAAATCCTCCACTCGGGTGCTGTGTGGTCACACTACACAGCGGAAACTGCATTATATGAGTGCTCTTAGCGCCCTCACAGGTGTCACCCAGGCAGTGTGTGAGCTGTGTCGGCCGCACGGCGCCCCCTGCTGCCATGGCGCCCTGTGTGGCAGCACAGCTCGCACACCCTTAAGGCCCGGCCCTGACTATAGGCACCCAGACCACTTCAGCTCAATTAAGTGGTCTGGGTGCCAGGTCCCACTAGTTTTAACCTGCAGCTGGGAGTCCAGCGTCAAATAAGATCTCCATAGGAAAGCATTGAGTAATGCTTTCGTATGGGCCGGTTTGAAAGCGCACACGAATCTGGCCGCAAATGCACATTGTGCTCCACTCGGGGAAGAGAGGTTTTAACCCCTTCAGCGTCGAGGGAGGGGGGCACTCAAAGAGCCTATAGTGCCAGGAAAATGGGTTTGTTTTCCTGGCACTATAAGATCCCTTTAAGAAACAATAAAGCTATGAACAATGAAACATGATTTGCTACCCTTGTCCAATGCCCTTCACTTCTGTACAGTTTTTCTAATATTAAAGCTGTCCTTCCTCTTGATGCCGCTGGTGTACTGAATAAAGTGGGTATAGATAGAAAGTTGGATACAGGTATATAAGCAACAACAAATACACAAACATCCATGTTACAGTGCTGTCACCCACCCATTGTGTTCCGTATTAAGAGTTATTAAGTATAATTGGGTTTAGAAAAAATCTCATTAGAGATTTTACCTTAAGCTGAAACCAGCAAGGTGAATTGATAGCGTAGGAGTCATCTTAGAGGTTTTGATTGGGCGTGGCAAGTGAGCTTCCACTTAAATGGCATTGGAGTGATACTAAAAAAACTCCAGTTATTTAAATATGCATAGGGATTAGTGATAGTGCGCAAGTAACTCTTCGGTTTTTATATAAGCAACAACAGCTTGCAGAAATGTATTCCCAAATATTTGTCCAGTTGGTGCAATGTTACCATATCTGCAATATTTTCCTGGATACATATCACTTTTACAGTATAGGAACTCTTTAAATAATTAAATCCTGCAGCATACAAATGCTACATACTAACAGGCCAGCACTTTTCATGTGCTATCCATCAGCATGCAGCAGAGATGAATGCTAAGGTAAACATGTTGGCAACCCTATCCAGCACTGGACACTTTGCCACACCTTATCCAAGCAGATGGTAGTAAAAATCAGACAGGTATAGGTACTGGTATGACACAAAAATCAAAACACCATTTACTTCAAAGACAATAAATTAACACTTTAATTTATATTTAGTAAACCGTGAAAATGTATATTGGATGTTGAAGGGGAAATTATGTCTAACTCATAATATACACAGGAAAAAAGAACCAAAGCTCCATATACCCCACAGCAGGTGACTCCCAAAACTGAACATCTGTAGATTTGTGGGGAAATTATAAAGGAATTGCAAGTTTTATTTTAGACACATCTAAATAAGTAAAAAAAAAAGGTTTTGGAATGTTTCTAATTCAAGGTTTTTGGCCTAAAATATCTACTGCCATAGTAAATTCTCCATAATTCCCCGTTTAGTGGGGGGGAAAAAAAACATGAATGCTAATGCAATATACATAATAAAATGTGAAGGTGGTACATGTAATAATGCTATGTAAAGCTCATGTGTTTTTTTATTTTTTTGGGGGGTAGAGGGGGTTGTGTCTTACATGCATGCATAAAGGACACTTATAATTATTTAATTTATTAATTGTAGTTTGATATGTAAGATAGTAATCTATTTCCACATGCTAGACCAGTTTTTTTCCCCTATTCTAGATTACTATGTAACTCATGAAATATGGAACCGTGGTTTATCTAAGGGGCAGTTCGGTGTGTGAGTAGTTGAACTGTAGGCTAACTAATCCTGGGAGATCCTGGGAGAAGGACACGTTGATTTTTAGTAAGTGGGTTTGTTAGTGTGACAGTGACAATTAATGTATAATTTACATAACATGGCAGAAACAACATGAGCAAGAAATGCATGCGTTATTTGTTCCTGTATTCAGGGAGGGGGCTTCTGTGACTCACCCGTATGTACTGTGTCCCCTCCCGGGATAGGGTGGCACCGTGCAGCAGTCAGGAGTAGCACTGGAAGCAGAATGAATTGTAGCATGGTGCAGGAACTTCCAAGCTCTTCTGTGTCCCAGGACCTTGAGAGATGTACTGTGTGTGTATATGGAAACTGAGAGCTGTATACCTGTGTGTGTTTGTCAGGTCTGTTTCTGTGACTGGAAGGTATAGTAACTGTCTGGGTGCCTTCAGTCTCCTGTTTATTTTCAGAGGTATGAGTCTGTTCCTGGATACTGCTGGTATGTCTGGCAGCTGTCTGTTGTTCAAGTCTGTCTGTCTATCTTTCTATGTGAATTGTGTGCAGAAAAATGTATCTGTGTGTCCCTCCCCTGTTTGTCTCTCACTTCTCTTTTTATGCCTCCCAGTCTCTCCCTCTCTGTGCCTCTCAGACTCCCTCTGCCCTGTGTCTAGTCTCTGTATCTCCCCCCTATCTGTGCCCCTATGTCTGTCCTGTGTCTAAGTGCTGTCTGTGTCTGTCTAAGAATTGTGTGTACAAATCTCTCTGCCCCCTCCTCTTCACTTCTTCTCTCCACTTTCCTGACCCCCTCCTTTTCCTCTCACCTTTTTTTCTTTATCTGTACCCCCACCCTCTTTGGGTGCATGTCTGTGTTTCCTTAAATATCGTTCTCACCGTTTCCTTTTGTGTGTTACGTTTGCCTCACCTGTCTGTGTATCTGTCTGAATTCTGCCTGAATGTGTTAGCAGTCTGTCTGGGAATGTGTCTATACTCAGCTATAGAACTGTCTGACTCCCTTTCCTCTGTTATATGAGAAGATTTCTCTTAACTTTATTTACTGGTCTATATTGTGATTGTGTGTCATTGTGTGAGTTTGTGCGTTTGTACTCTGGTGGTCTGGTGAAATTCTTGCCCACTGTCTGGTAATTGACTCATAAACTTCAAGACTTTTATTTTAGTGGGTGTAGGGTCTGCCATGTCGACCCTGCCTTCCAGGTCAGGTATGTAGTTTTCATGTTAAATATGTGTTGGCTTCTAGTCATATGTAGAGATATACAGTATTCAGGATATGAGTATATGCAGTGACATTTAGATTCTGTATATCCTTGCAGACATGTTGCACAATTTCTGCACAATGGTGGCATTTAGTTATTCATTTCTGCATTTTTTTAGGATTACAATATTTGACTGTGTCGATTGCTAAATGCATTTCTAGTCTTTATAGTCTTTTTAATCTCTGTCTATTCTCTAAAATGTTGTGTGTAATTTTTTGTTTTGTATATGTGTGTGGATCTAGATTTTGTGGATACCTCTATGCAGATGCCTCTCTTTATCTGTACAAGTCTAGCTGCTTGCTAAGTTGTGTCTGTCCATCTTTATCAACTTGTTAAAATTTATGTTTCCATCTGAGCCTTTGCAAATGTTTCCTTTAAAGACCCCCTGTCCTGGCTCTTTGCCATATTTCCTGACTGCTATTGTGCAAAGTGAAGCTTATGTGGTTATAACACATATAACTAATTTTCTGCTGAGGCAATCCAAAAGCATGCGTTAGAAACATGTATATATCTAAATTGAATGGGATATGTAGGTATGTTTGTGAGTTTTGTACCTGCATGCTTTATATATGTGTTTTTGTGCACGTGCATTATGTTTGTATACAGAATTATGTACAAAAAAACCACACATTTTTAGCTTCCATACATGTATAAAGTGCTACTATGTGCATATTCAATGCATAGTGCACCCATGTAGGCAATATACAGAGCACATAACTTGGAGATGTGGAGATATTAAAAAAATTAAAGGACCACTATAGTGCCAGGAAATCAAACTCGTTTTCCTGGCACTATGTAGTCCTCAGGTCCCCCCACCCTTATGGCCCCCCTCCCGCTTCAGCCACTTACCTTTATCCAGCGCCGGGCTCCCTCGGCACTGGTGACCTCTCCTCCCCCTCCGACGTTGGCTCCCGAGTGGAGCCGAATGCGCATGCGCGGCCAGAGGCACGTGCGCATTTAAATCCGCCCATAGGAAAGCATTTCTCAATGCTTATGGACATCAGCATCTTCTCCTGGTGATTTTCACAGTGAGAATCTTGGAATCAGCCTTTAGTGGATGTCAGTGAGACAGCCATTAGAGGCAGGATTAACCCTACAGTATAAACATAGCAGTTTCTCTGAAACTGCTATGTTTTCAGCTGCAGGGTTAAAACTAGAGGGACCCGGCACCCAGACCACTTCATTGAGCTGAAGTGGTCTGGGTGCCTATAGCGGTCCTTTAAATGTAGATTTAGTAACGAAATAAAACATTACATCCTGCCTATCATCTGGTTGTTTAATTCTCAACAATAGCAATTAGACTGATTAATGTTTTTTTTTTTCTAATGGTAAAGTAATTTCTCTGGTCTTCTTTCCATCTTTGTTGAATATACTTCCATCCTTTACCTGATATTCACATAGGTTATGTGAACATATCTTGCATATATCTCACTACAGCACCGGTTAAATAACTTCATAACGTCTGTTAAATTTCACAAGTTCATGCTTTGCACCAAAATCTTCCAAGTGTGTTCCTGGAGACTCAGCGCTCACTATTAAATGCTTAGTGTCCAGGAACTAAGCTTTCTACAGGGAGTTCTGGAGGGGTTTAACTAGTCCACTGTTCACGTCATGTCCAGCATTGCAGACTATGAATTCAGATTCCATTCTCATATAATTAGTTACTTATATGGTTAAAACAGCATCTCTTGTCAATCATAGCCACAGCTATGATACATCTATTATTCACTTTTGATAAGGCTAAGGCGAAATGCGTCAAGTGTTTGTTCTCCATGTGGATTGGTATTGTTTTTATTTGATATTATATAAATTGCATTTTATCCACTTTTGTTTTTATACATTTGTTTTAATAAAAATATTTGTTTACAACCCAGTCCATGGTTATTATATTTAGTTTTATCTTATTAAGCTTCCTGTGTATCCTGCATATTTTAGGAGGGGATAATTCCACCAACACTCCAAACTACCAGAGCAGGACACATTATCTGCTGACATATTGCACTATTGGGTCTCTCTCTCTATTCTTCTTCCACATATATAACTACCGTATATACTTGAGTATAAGCCGCAAGGCTGCCATCAGAAATTTTGGGGCCCCTGACACAGCTCAAGGTCTGGGCCCCCTGGTGCCTGCACCCGAGTCCGCCCAAAGTGCTGCCCTCCCCCCCCCCGAGTCCGCCCACAGGGATGCAGTGTCTGCAGGGCCGATGCAAGGATTTTTGCCGCCCTAGGCAAAAGTAAAGTTTGCCGCCCCCCCACCATGTGACATCACAATGCCCCACCCATATGATCTGCCATGTTAACTAACACCAGTGCTGCAGTGCCGCCGTATTTACTTTAAAAGGCCTGCAGGGACAGGCTATAGACACCAGAACCACTAAATTAAGCTGCAGTGGTTCTGGGGACTATAGTGTCCCTTTAATGTGAGGTAAATTAGAGATTAGTGCCACGAATAATATACTAGATTGCCTACTTACAACCAGATGAGGATGATGATGGGCTCTAGCTGCCATCTGGCTCCACTGGTCTGGTGTAGAACAGGCTCTCTGGAGGTGGTTTGTAACTGTGGTCACAAAAATCAATGTTCTGGGAGAACGGGAAGCAGCTCCATTTTTTTGAGGGCCCCAGGTCTGGGTCCCAGGGTCCACCTTCATGTTCCACCAATGAGTTTGTTCACAGGGGGTGGAGTGTGTGTGTAGGGGATGTCCTGATGTGTGTAAGGAATGCATTGTGTGAATCTGTGTTTGTATATGTAAGGGCTGCAAGGTGAGTTTGTATATGTATGGGATGCAGTGTGTGCGTCTGTAAGGGAGTGTGTGTAAGGGGTGCATTGTGTGTTGCTGTGTGTAAGGGATGCATTGCTTGTGTATGTGTGTCTGTGTGTAATGCATTGTGTGTTTTTCTGTGTGCAAGGGGTGCATTGTGTGTGTGTGTGATGGATGTCAATCTCTCCTCCCCTCAATTACCTCCTTCTCCCCCTCCTCTAATTTCCTTCTTTCCCTCTCTCCAATTTCCTTCTTTCTCCTCCTCCACCTCCTTCTCCTCCCTCTCATTGCCTTCTCCCCAATTTCTTGCTCTCTCAATTTTCTTCCTCTCCCTCCCTCAAATTTCTCTCCCTTCCTCTCCCTCTCACCTCCTTCCTCTCTCTCCCTCCTCCTCAAATTCTCCTCCCTTCCTCTCCTCCCTCTCCCCCCTCAAATTTCCCTCCTCCTTCCTCAAATTTTTCTCTCCTCCCTGCCTAAATTCTCCTCCTTCCTCTCTCTCATCTCAAATTTCCTTCCTCTCCCCCTGACAACCTGACAAGGGGCGGGCGGGCGGGCGCGCGAGGGAGCACTCTGCTCTGTGTGCTTCCTCTTCAGCTCCCTCGTGCGCCGCGTACTGATGTCAGCGCCGGAAGATGACGTTATCTTCCGGCTCCGGCATGAGTACGGTGCGCAAGGGACCTGAAGAGGAAGCACACAGTGCAGAGTGCTCCCTCGCGTGCCCGCCCGCCGGGTGGGGGGCCCTGAGGTGACCGGCTGCTGGGCCCCCCAGGAGAAGAGGCTGGCCCAGTGGGTACATACCGGGGTCGCAGGGCCCCCTGAGACCCGGTATGTACCCACTGAATGTGGGGCCCGGATGACCTGAGCAGTCCGGGCCCCCCAGGACCGCCGGGCCCATGACAACCGTTACGGTTGTCATGCCCTGATGGCGGCCCTGATAAGCCGACCCGAATATAAGCCGAGGCCCCTAATTTTACCACAAAAAAATGGGAAAACTTATTGACTCGAGTATAAGCCTAGGGTGGGAAATGCAGCAGCTACTGGTAAATTTCTAAATAAAATTAGATGCAGAGTGTGTGATTGTGTGTGTATATAATGAATGCAGAGTGTGTGTGTGTTTGTGTGTGTATATAATGAATGCAGAGTGTGTGTTTGTGTGTATATATAATGAATTCAGTGTGTATATAATGCAGTGTGTGTAAACTGGGTGAGGGGAGGGCATTTTTATTTTTATTTTTTTATTTTATTATATTATTTTAATAATATTATTTTATTATTATATTATTATTATTTTAATATTATATTATTTTAATAATATTATTATTATTTTAATAATATTATTATTATTTTAATATTTGCATTATTTTAATAATATTATTTTATTATTATATTATTATTATTTTAATAATATTATTATATTATTATTATTTTAAAATTTGCATTATTTTTTTAAAAATGTTTTTTTGTCCCCCCTCCCTGACCAGGCAACAAGCAGGGAGGGGGGACAAAAAACATTTTTAAAAAAATAATGCAAATATTAAAATAATAATATAATAATAAAATAATATTATTTTAATATTATATTATTTTAATAATATTAAATCCCTGGTGGTCCAGTGGCATTGGCTGTAAAGTGGGGGGGCTGACAGTGAGCTGTTACTTACCTTCCTGCAGCTCCTGTCAGCTCCCTTCTCCTCCGTGCAGCTCCTCTGTCAGCTCCGTTCTGCTTACAGTGTGGGTCTCGCGAGACTTACACTGTAAGCAGAACAGAGCTGACCGGGGAGCTGCACGGAGGAGAAGGGAGCTGACAGGACCTGCAGGAAGGTAAGTAACAGCTCACTGTCAGCCCCCAGCAGGTTCGCCGGGCTTGTAATGAGCCCGGCGGTCCTGGTCTGTATTATGGCAATGCAAGTTGCCATAATACAGATTGACTCGAGTATAAGCCGAGTAGGGGTTTTTTAGCACAAAAAATGCCTGTACCTACCTGATTCTGGGACCATTAACCCTCACTGATTCATCCAATATCCGTAGAAGGGGATTGCACCTTCCAAGCTTATTATAGCAGAACTCTATATAGCTCTTTAAAGTGTGAGTGTTCTCTAAGCTTTTCTTATTATCAAATATTTTTTATAAGACATATTGCAGAATTATTTGTTTCTTCTTTTTTTGCTGTGTCTCTCTCTCTTTTATATATTGTCTTTGACACTCCA